GTGTTTTTGTAGGTTTTCTGGACAAGCGATTTTGAAAGTCCTTCCGAAACCGATCAATTTTGAAGGTTTTCGGCAAACGCCCGCGACGACGCGCGCGTGTGCATTTCGTCGCATTTGTTGCAGGGGATTCTCGCGACGGCACACGCGCAACGGCGTTCGACAGATTTCGACATGAGCGCGCGCGAAGCCCGTTTGGTAGCATGTTGTGAAAATCTTGAAAAACTTACGGTGTTCTTAAGATTTCGCAAGAGCTTTCGCGGAAGCTTTTTTAGCAACTCTGTGTTTCGAAACCTTGTGTTTTTGTATGTTTTTTGAAGGATTTCGGCATGCGCGCGCGACGACGTGCGCGTGTGCACTTCGTTTCATTTTTTGCAATGGATCCGTGAAACAGTGTTATGTTAGAACCAAACATGTCACCGCATAGTGTTTTTTGTTACAACGGAACCTCAGGGGGGGAAGCCGGCTCAGCTGGGATGGTACGGTTCCATATTTAGGATGGGCGAGTGTGGATAATATATCTATATATACATATTCATATATATATATATGAATATATATATATATATATATATATATATATATATGTATATCTGAAATCATACTATCCCAGGGGGAATCGATAAGTCCGGGGGGGGAGAATCTATCTTCTTTTTAAAAAGGAGAATCCATCCTGCTGAACTTGAAGTCGTCATCTCCTCTGCTCGCGCAAACATCCCACCCACCCACCCGCAACTTGGTTTGCAAAACCTGTTAAGACCGACTACGACGACACCGACGACAACGACTAGGACGACACCGACGACGTCTCCGACGACTTCGACGACGACAACGACGCCGACGCCGACGACGACGAAGACGACGACGACGACGCCAACGAAGGCGACGACGAGGGAGGAGGAAGGACGACGACGGCGACAACGACGACAACGACGACAACGACGACGACAACGACGAGGGAGGAGGGAAGACGACGACGACGACGACAACGACGACGACGACGACGACGACGACGACGGCGACGAAATAGGAGGGACGACGACGAGACGCCGACGACGGACGACGACGACGACGAGGGAGGAGGAGGAAGGACGACCACGGCGACAACGACGACGGAAACGACCACGACGCCAAAGAGGACGACGACGACGAACACGAGGAAAGACAGAGGACGACGTAGGCGACGACGACGACGACGCGGGAGGAGGGAGGACGGCGACGACGACGACGACGACGACGACGCAAGAGCGCGCGCGCACGTTTTTGTTGAAAATCCGTGTTGCGAAACCTTGGGTTTTTGTATGTTTCTTAGACACACGATTTTGAAATCCTTCCGGAACCGATGGGTTTTGAAGGTTTTCGGCATACGCCCGCGACGACGCGTGCGTGTGCATGTCGTCCCGTCTTTTGCAGGGGATTCTCGCGACGGCGCACGCGCAAGGGCGTTCGACAGATTTCGACATGCGCGCGCGCGAAGCCCGTTTGGTAGCATTTTGTGAAAATCTTGAAAAACTTACGGTGTTCTTAAGATTTCGCAAGAGCTCGCGCGGAAGCTTTTTTAGCAAATCAGTGTTGCGGAACCATGTGTTTTTGCATGTGTTTTGGAAACTCGATTGCGAAATCCTTCCGGCACCGAAGGCTTTTGAAGGATTTCGGCATGCGCGCGCGACGACGCGCGCGTGTGCACTTCGCCTCATTTGTTGCAAGGGATTCGTGAAAAGTGCTATGTTAGAACCAAACATGTCACCGCATAGTGTTTTTGTACGAGGGAACCTCAGGGGGGGGAAGCCGGCCTAGCTGGGATTGTTTGGTTTCATATTTAGGATGGACGAGTGTGCAGAATATATATATATGAAATCATACTATCCCAAGGGGAGCCGATAAGTCCGGGGGGGGGGTAGAGTCTATTCTCTTTTTAGGAAGGAGAATTTATGTTGTGCATGATTTATGGTGCAAGCGGAGTTTTGAAATTCACGCGGTCCAATATACGCGGTGCGGTATATGTGGTGCAAGTTGGGCGGTGAAATTTATGTTGTGCAAGATCTGCGGTGCAACATTTGTGGTGCAATGCACGAAGTTTAATGGAGTTTCTTGCGCCGCGCGTGACCACCTCCCGTGCTCGTGCACATGTTCCACCCACTCACCCGCAATTTGGTTGACCAAACCCTTGCGGCGTCGATTGCGATGACTGTTCGGCGCTGGCTGGCGCATCGCTGCGGCCGCGCTAGCGCAGGCAGGGTCGCGCGCAGAGTGGCCAGTTAGCTTGGCGCGACTGGCGCGCCCGCGGTGGCGCTGACCGTTGGGCATTTCCCTGCGTGTCTCGCAGGCCGCGCTGACGCGCGGGAACTTCACTGCGACTCGGTGACTCGGGCGGGCGCGGTATCGTGGCTACGTCAACAACGGCAGACACGACTATGGTAGCAGCGGATTTGGTGACGATGATGACACTGACGATTGTGAGGCCAATCGCGGCACCGATGTCGATCACGCCGATGACGATGATGGTGTCTTCGCGTCGGCGATGAAGGTTTTGGAAAGAGTTCGGCGTGCGCACGCGGCCGGCGAATGCGAATGACCCGCATGGTACCATCTGACATGGATCGCACACCCTCCAGCACGCGCTCAAGGGCGTTCGAACGATTCGGGCACTCGCGCGCGAGAACCCTTTTGGTCGCATGTTATGACGATGTTGAAAAACATATGGCTTTTGTTTCACAATTTGCGGGGGCGCGCGTATTTGTATTTTCTGTGGGAGTCCGTGTTGCACAACAACATATTTGCTTTACTTGTTTTTTTGTGGGGGCTCGGCACGCGCGCACGACGACGTGCTCGTGTGAACTGCGTTACATTTGTTGCAAAGGATTTGTTTGCAAATTGTTGGTTTCTGACCAGCGAGTGTGCGCGCATATTTCCTCCGCAAAGGATGACGGGGCCAGTCGATACTGGCCTGGCTGAGATGGTATGGTCGCATGTAAAAAAAAGCGAGGCGGGATCATGTATGACTTACAAAGCAACAAAGGCGAATTGATAATCCCGGGGCCGGGGCGGGGTAGCGTCTACGTTCTTCGGGAAAAGGAGAGTCAGCGTTGTGCATGCAGGGTGGCGGCGAGGCTGCGGCGGGGCGGCGACGGTAGCATAGCCGCCAAAGCGATAGACAAACCCAAACGACGGGCGGCGACGAAGCGTCGACGGGGCGGCGACAGCGGCAACATAGCCGCCGAACCGACAGTCTGACCCAGTTCTTTCGCAAATGATCGGGGCCCCTTAGTGCAATGATTTTTCAGCTTTTTGAACGCACCATAACAAACACCACGCGCATTGGCATGCGAGCTCCTGACACCAATCTTACACAACAGCATCCGACAGCAATCACATTCATGAGTAGAATCCATCAAAACCGTCCACTTCTATCGCAGATTTAAGCGTGACGCACGTTTCAGCAACCAGCAAGCATACACCAAAGACATGCTTCGTTCGTATGTATAACCAATGAACATCCATAACATACAGAAGGCGAGACCAATTCAGAAATGACTGAGGTCAGTAACAAACACCAAGCCTGTGCGTACCCAGCATCGCCAGCGAACGGGCAAACGCACCCCGTTTCACTGCGAATCTGATTAGCCCACGTTCCAATCACACACAGCATGCACATGCCAAAACTTATGCGCATGTCATGCGTAATGGGTGCGCACATATCAAATGCACGCACACTCGTGTAACACAACACGCGGTCAGCCCACATTGACCAATTATGGATGATTCGTACGATTACGGTCCGTAACCGTTTTGGCTCAAGTCTGAAGCTCTCGGCCGCCCGCCCCCGCTGGGGCGCCGCTCCCCAGGAGCAGCGCGCGCCACGGCTGGCGCCCCTGCGGCCGCGCGCTGGCGGCCCCGGCGGATCGGGTATGGACGTGGGCGCTCGCGTGCTGCACCCCGGGGATGACGCCGAGCGCGTCCTCTTCGGGGCCGTCTGCGCCTACCTGCTGCTCGGCGTTTGCGCGGCGCTCTGGTCAATCCGGCGGGCCGCGCTGACGTCGGGGTTGCCGCAGCGGCTTGCGGTGCTGCTGAGGCGGGCTCGGGGGGCCCCCGAGCCGTGCAACAAGAACGGGGGCTCGGACGCTGCACCCCGGGAACTCGAGAAGAAAAAGTTGAAGTTGGCCAAGCAGATACTGGGACATGCGAACTTCGGTGGCATGGTCTGTATCGCAGCCCACTGGTCCGGACTGTCCACATCTTTTTTTCCAGAGGGGTTGTTCACTCGCAAACTCTGCGTTGTTACTGGTCTCATGGGTCGCACCGTCCTCTGTCACACAAAAGTCAATCGACTGGATATACTCGGCGATGATGGCTAGCCTGAGCTTCGCAGTGTCTCCTCTCGCAGTCTATGCAGACACAGTCTGGATTTATTACAATGCCACATGGATCGCGGCTGTTGATTTTAGCCTCATGAATTTAAAGCCATGGCTGAATGCGTGCTGGATTGTTAACGATGTCCGTAGTCACTGTGCTTTGCTTGGTACTGGTCGATACGCTATTACATCCGCTGACGCAGCTGGAACTCTATGTCACTTCCTCGCGCAACGAGCTGGCCGCCGCCCAGTCCGTACTGCGGAGCGTCTGCGACGTGGTCGTTGAGTTGGACGACGCGCTCCGGCTTAGGAAAGACTCGCCTGAGTTGCGCAGCAAGCTGTTTCTCAACCAGAGCCGGTCCCTGCAGCACGAAGACGTGCACATCTTCCTGGCGTCCGCCGAGGACGGCGCCAAGTTCCACGAGCACGCCACGTCCACGGGACAGCCAGGGGGCGAGTTGCCACGCCTGAGCATCGCCTTCCACGCGTCCATGAGGGACAGTGCCAGGATCACTGGCGGTGGAGGTATTTGTGGTCCGATTCTTGATCAGGGAGGGGCAGACCGGCTCGGAGCAGACCGACTCGGAGCTCCGCGGAGGCAGCTGTCAGCGAGAGTCGAAGCGAGGCTCTGGCCCAGCCGCGTGGGCGCCGATGATCACAAGCGGCATGTTGAGGAAGGAGGCGGCTGAGCAGGCTAGTGAGGCCGGGCTCGTCCGCTCGATCTCGTCCTCGTCGGATGGCAGCTCGTCCGCCGAGGTCTTCCAGAGTGCCGAGCTCAGCGCTTGGGTGGATCTGGTCAGCCCCAGCTGGAAGATCGTGAGCGTCATTGACGCGTTCCAAATGTGCATGGGGCTCGCGGAGGAGGAGGTCGACTTCCTCCCGCTGGTGGCGGTCGACCAGCGAGAGAGGTTAATCTCGTTCGTGCAGAGGTTAATCTCGTTCGTGCAGGATGCGCACTTCAAATCTCCAGACCGGGACGCCCTGGCCACCTTCGGAGAGCCCCTCTCTTTCTGCACTGTGTACACGCAGTGCCTGAATCTCCGCCTCCGCGCGTCACTGAGGCTGGACTGGTGCCCCCACACTGGCCAGACGCCGCAGGCCAAGCACGTGTTTCGCCTGAGCCTCGGCGAGATGTGCTGGCTCAGCGGCAGCCGACGCGTGCGCCGAAGGAGGCGCGCGCCCCTCGGGACCCCTGGCGCCTTTCGGGGCGCGGCGAGTTGCAAGCTCACGGCGCAACGGACGCAAGCAGATTTAAGCCTCAATCACATATGTGTATGTATATATGTATGTATGCATGCATGCATGCATGCATGCATGCATGCATGTATGTATGTATGTATGTATGTTTGTATGTATGTATGTATGTATGTATGTATGTATGTATGTGTGTATGTGTGTATGTATGTATGTATGTATGTAGGCCATCAATAAGCTAAACACATCTAGACACCCATGGGGACTCTGTGATGTGTACCTTCATCCTTTTTTCATCTAGACAGGAAGGCTCACCAGTCAGCCTTATAGAGCTTTCTCGTTTGTTTCATACAGGCTGTGTGCAGCCAGTCCAGACATACTGTTTAATAACAGTGCGATAGCATGACAGTCTTAACGACTGTTTAATGACAGTGCGATGATGTTAATGACAGTGTTTGATGACACTGTTTAATGACTGTTTAACAACAGTCACTGTCCTCGAGAAGGCTTGTCGCGACAAGCGCGACGTGGTCTCAGGTGCCTGGCTGCCCCGAAGCATGTTGCCAGCAAAGATCCCTGCACGTTGTCGGCATGTGGCTGATCGTTCGGGCATCCTCTGCTTGTGGGGACTTGGGTGCGCTTCTGAAGCAGTAATTCTGGTTTGTCAGTTGCTTGCGACGCACGCTCCATGAACAGTACTGGGGGACTGGTGGTTGGGGTTCGGTTCGGAAGCACAAGTTCGGTCGGACAATTGCTTGCGATGCACGCTGCGCGAACTCGGCAATACGTAGGCGGCGTCTTCGCTTCGTGCCCAGTCCAGTCCTAGGGTTGCTCAGCGTGTGCCACCCTTTCAGTCCCTCCGTACTTCCTCCTTCATTGTCTTAGCGCCCTTCCTTGCACCAGTTCCTCCAGACGTTTTGCGACAAGCGCGACTTTATCTCAGATTGCTGTTCGTGCCGAAGCACGTTGCCAGTATGGGGCTGATCTTGCCGACGCACTGTGCGGCCCTCAAAAAATGTTTCGTACGATTATGGTGTTCGTTGTCCGTGTCCACAGGTGGGGCTATGAGCGGGGCGAAGGTGAAATGACACAGATTCACATGCAGAGCATCTCGACTGACCTACTGACTTCTGACGTCGTTATGTTTACAATGACTACGCGTTGCTTCAATCTCAGCTTTTGCAGACCCCTGTCAGGCCCCGGGACCAGACGAAAACCATCCAGGATGAAGGGCCAGACCCCAGGAAGCGGTAGCGAGGTCCGAGCGCCACGTATTGAAACAACACGCTGCGTCGGAGGTCTGGGTCCACCGCTTCGGAGTCGTGCCCCGCGACCTCCAGGAGTATTTGACGTTGACGCATGGATGTTTGTGTGTGTGTGTGTCCGCGGGGTGTCCCTAGGTGGGCAGATTTCCAGATCCGTCGCTCGGCGGGGTCAGATGTAGGACTCCAGAAATTGCACATGTGGATGGTTCCTGGGGGTGCATATCATGCCGATCCAACGAATCGAGAGGGCAGGCCCGAGAAAACCGATGGTAATGGACCCCCGCCTTTTGGCGTCATGCCCGACCCCTTCGACGACTTGCAGGAGATGCTCCTGTCGAACTGAGCGGGAGCAGCAGCCCTCAGGGTTATTCCGTCCTCACATCTTTGTTTCTTCCCTTCGCCATTCTTCCCTTCCTCTCCTCTTCCTCTATATCCTCGTCTCTTGTTTTCATGTTCCGGGTCTTACCTTCTCGTCCTCCCCATCTACGCCCTCACGTTGCTCTTCTCTTCACTTGTCCTCCTCCCATCCTCTGCTATTCGTTCCTTCCTCCTCCTCCTCACCTTTTCCTTGTTATTTTGTTCCTAATTCCTTCTCCCTGTCGTTATCCCCCTTCTGCCTCTCCTCGCCCTTTCTCCTCTCCTGGTGTCCGCCTTTCCCCCTCCTTCCCCATCTTATTACTCTTCCTCCAATATCCTCTTTTCTTCCATCCTCTTTGCCGTCTAATCTCCCTCCTCCACCTCCTCTCCTGCTGTTCCTCCTCGTCCACCCCTCTTTTTGTTCGATCCTCGCTTCTGCTTTTCCGTGTTCTTTCCCTCGCTCAGTCTTTTCATCCCTGTCTGACCCTCGCAATCCTCGCCTCCTTCGCCTTCCCCTCTCCACCTCCGTTACAGCTGGCACGAGGGTTCAAAACAATATACTATATGTCTCGGAGGGGTGCCCTTATGCTTTTCGCCGGTGGGCCCCCCCGGCACCGTCATGCTGTGTTTCGTTCTTGGTGTCTCCATGGAGCCCTTGACCTTCGGGGAAGGGGCTGGTTTTCTTGATCCACTTTCTGGTGGTCCTGCTTCGGCTGCATTTCTCGGCGGCGAGCCCGGGGGGGGGGAAGTGAGAAGAGGCGGGCCATCTCAGAAGGCTCGGAAGTTCCCAAGCCTGAGAAGTTTTCTACGCTTTCCACGAAGATAGGGACATTCGCAGAAGGCGCGGGAGTTTCTGAGAAGTCCCGCCATCCTTGGAGAAGGCTTTCTGCTTCTCACCTCCCCCCCTCTCTCGCCGCCGACTTTCTATGTTTCATGTCATGCCGCTCGCAACATCTGACCAGCGACAGGCTGCTACGCACGCTCTTCTGCCAGCGGCCGCAGGAGGACCGCACGGCAGGGTCCGATAGACCCTGCCTCGCGCACGAAGCGCGTATTCATTCGTTTCCAGCGTGGATCCCGAACAGTCGGAGGTTGGGGGGTGAGATCGAAGTGGAACGGAGAGTCCCCCTACCGGGAAATCGATTTCGGTTTCGTGTTCGTGCGTGCCGTGCGTGCGGGCGAGGCGAAGCTGCGTGGGCGGGCGAGAGGAAAGTCTCCTGTGGCTGAGGCGCGGTCGGACCAAATGATTCTCCACCGGGGCGCGGGGCCGCGTGGTGTCCCGCCGGTGTCCCGGTGGTGTCCTCTGTGGCTGAGGCGCGGCCGCACCAAATGATTCTCCACCGGGGCGCGGGGCCGCGCGGTGTCCCGCCGGTGTCCCGGTGGTGTCCCGTCGGTGTCCCGTCGGTGTCCCGTCGGTGTCCCGATGATGATGTTGATGATGATTATGATGATGATGGTGATGATGATGATGATGGTGATGATGATGTTGATGATGGCGATGATGATGATGATGATGATGATGATGATGATGATGATGATGATGATGATGATGATGATGATGATGATGATGGTGTTGATGTTGATGTTGATGTTGATGTTGATGTTGATGTTGATGATGAGCCTCAGCAGGCCTCCGAGAAAAAAATCTCCACTGGCATCGTCAGGAGAACAATCACCACTGTTGCCGATTGCTCGGCCCCTCCACCCCCCCCAACCTCCTTATCACCCGCAGTGTGGTCGTATAGGTAAGTTATTGCATTATTGCACTGCGGATGTAGGTGCAAGCTATATTGTGTAAACTGTGTGCGCAGTACGTGGTACAAGCTAGGATTGACAACGAGGCGGCAACTAGCGGCAACGTGCCGAAACCTCGCCAGACCCACCCAGCGCACGAGGCGTCAACGAGGCGAAACCTCGCCGACCCATTCAATTCCTAGGCAGCAGAAGTGAACGCCACGAACCTCTTAGTTCAGCAGGGAGAAGCACAGACACAAACAATCGTCGACCCCTGGAACAAGATGGACAAATGGGAAGTGATGGGGAGGACGAACAGCCAGGAAATATGGACAATTATTGTGAATCCTGGGGCATGTGTCTATTAAGTAATTGAACGCCCCTGGGGAGGCAGGCGCTGCCGCCCCGCTTTTTGTTGGAGCCCCAAGTTTCCTTTTGGAGGGGCCCAGCACGGCCCCAGATCCAAGAAAACGTGGGGAAGAGCCCAAGAAGATCCCCAGAGGGCCCCAAGAGGGCCCGAAAACGGGCGAACTGGGCACCCAAAGGTGTCGAAAACGGCGGAGGAAACCAAAGAGGGATACAAAGAGGCAGGCAGGCGCATCGCCATTCAGTTTGGGACATCACAAAGGCTTCGAGGGACCCCCTGTGCGCGCCCAAGGCCGCTCACGACAGCACCAAAAAGAAGTCCAGAAGGGCGTGGAGGGACCGAGAGGCTGTTAGGGCGGCCGCAGAGAGCATCCGCAAGCCCCAAGATAGCCGCAAGAGCCCGCGGATACACAAGGGAGCTCCAAGAGAGGCGCCAGGAAGAGCCCGATGAGGACATTCGTCATAATCTCAAGTGTTTTACCATATGTCTTGCTTGTTGGGGATGTCTGGTGTATGAGACTCGACGAGAGGTGGAGAGGCATCTGTGTGTGAAGACCGCTCATGTCACCTCCCTTCTATCCATATATCCTGCTATCTTTTCGGATCTGGTATTGGACATTTGGACATCTTGCGCGCCCCTGTTCACACGGGCTCATGGACAAAAGAGACTCCCCTTTTCTTTCTATCGTCCTCTACCTACGGACCCCACGGTCGGATCGACTCATTGGTCGTCAACCTCCACTCACAGGTTACCAGTCTATTATATTACGCGCTCCGTTGCGACACCCCGTGCCGCCTTCTGGCCTACCGCATGGCGCTGGACCCCCCGGGGACCAGTGCCTCTATGCGCGATGGCTCTTCGACGGTGCGTGGGCGTCGCGACGACACGGAGAGGGCAATGGCACAGGGAACGAAGCCGCAATCCCCCCTGCCAGGAAAAGGCAGCGCCGACGCTCGACTCGAAGCGGAGCTTCGACGGGCGCAACATGTAGACATGGACTCCTTCCAGTCTTCCGTGCCGGCGCAATCGTTCACCCCAGGGTTTGGACCCAGCTTCAGGTCGACCGTTCAATCACATGAAGCCAACATTCGTTCAGAGTCCTCGCCGGTGGGAGCACCCGCGGGGGCCGTCGTCTCCACCGTTGCATTCGCCTCGAAGCCTTGTTCTCCAACCTTCGCCAATGGGAACACCCGCGGTGGCGCGAACGGAACGTCTCCTCCGAGCGCTTCCACGCGACGCCGCCGCTGGGACGCCCGTCGCCCCATGGGCCCCACATCGGCCCCTGTGTCAGCACACGTGCGAGCCATTGAAGATCGCGCTGGACCTCACAGCGAAGAGCCCCCGAGCGGTACCGTCTCCACTTTTATCAGTAGGGACAGCGGCTGCAACCCCTCCCAGAGACGCTCGCGGCAGCATTCCCTGCGGCGCGACATCTCGCCACAAACATCGCCCTCCGCCAGTGAGTTGACACAGTTCAGAGACCATGCTGAAACGTACACGACCCAACAGTTGTCGGGTCTTGGTGCAAAGACAGCCACTTTGAGGCATGGGTTATAGAACGCTCTTGCCCTTATCGACGTTCGGATCGCCGCTGGTCGGTCGATCCTAAATCAGGTTCAATATCGCATCGACCGCGTGGAATCACACCGAGGTGCCCACTCCAATGCCATGCAGGCGCTGCACGACTACCTCGTCGCTGTGGAGGGTCAACGCGTGAGCGTCAGTGATGCGGGCACTGCTGCTGTCAGGACCCTACACGACGGGATTCTGGCGTTACGGCAAGTTTTTGCCATTAAGGTACATGGGACCACGGATCCCAACAAATCCGCGACGATCTCTTTGCGCTCCGTGATTACGTTGACGTGACCACTGTCAACCTTCACCCCGAGAGTACCACAACCACGTCCGAGTTTCACGGGAAGCTGTGTAATGCCGAGATGGCTACTGCTCAACGTCTTGATGCATCACTGGGACGCGTGCCAGCGCTTGAGAACCGAGCCCCCCCGGTGGAGCAGCAGTTGCCCCGCCTACAGGTTGCAGCGGCTGAGTTGCATGTTGTGCGGACTCAGACTGCGCAGCTAGGCGCCCCGACTTCGATTTGCAATTTCACCCCCTTCGCCGCCGAGATGGCCGAGGTAAGGAAGGCGGCGGACCACGCGCAATTACGACTCACCCAGATCTCCTAAGAAAGAGACGCTGAAAAAAGGCACGGGCGGAGGAAATGTTCACCCGTTTGGAACTAGAGCGCGGCGCGCGCAACCGGCGATTCCAGGATTTTGGAGCATCGGCTGGACCGGTGCTCCCAGCGATCTTGCGACACCAACGACGAGGTGCGTGGTCTGCGGCAGAGTGTAGAGCACTTGCAGGACGATCTCACGACCACCGAAGCTACCATGAAGGCCCACGTCAGCGACGCCAAGATTCATTGCTTCCGCAACCTCCTGAACCCGCCACCAACAATGCCCCGACCCTCGCCGATCGTAACATCCGCACAGGACAACCGCGACGCACGTCACCGGGATCTGCCTCTGCAGCAGCCTCAACGCAGACACCTCGCGTATCTCCTGTGCGTGGACCATCGCCGACGCCACCTGTCCTGTCACAGAATAGATCACCGTATTCTCTTGGTGGCACCACCCCGATCACGGAATCATAGACTGCTTGCGGTCTTCAAATGCCACGCATCACTCAGTTACAAGACTGGCAGCGCATGACCAGGGATAACTTCGGCAGCGCCGGACGCTACTCATTTGAGGACCTTCAAGACAGCGGCGACTTCGAGAGCACCGATTGCGAGCTAGCCGCTTGACTTTCGGCGGTTCTTATTTCTGCACTCCGTTTGCCCACGAAGAACTTAAAAAAATCAGGAACGCACGTGCGGCCGC